CTCTCTCTCTCTCTCTCTCTCTCTCTCTCTCTCTCTCTCTCTCTCTCACTCACTCATTCTCTCTCACTGTCACAGCTTGAGACAATTGGGGCAGCTGAGGCTCATGGGGGAGAGCAAATGACCAGTGACTGGAGGGTAGCTAGTTGACCAGGAACATAAACTAAATGTCAGTGGGACATTATAATAATATTAATGATATTCAGTCACCATAGCGACCACATATCTGTGTTTCTCACTACCTGACAGCACTTATAATAAAACAGACACACACACAAAAAAGCTGTTTTTGCACAAACACTGTAAGTCTGAAGAAAATCCTTCAATATAAGTGGCAGAAGGTCATCACACACATCAACTTTTATTGGACAGAGTCTTAAGTAGGAGATGTGAGAAAAGTTTGAATGAGAAAAGTCTGAGCTCCAATCCAGTGTAAATCTATGAGTTTGGATGTGTGCACTCTGATTTCTGGGGGTATTTGAGAGAAAACTTTAAGTCATAATGTAAAGTTTATGGGAATTAAAATATTGGAAAGTTTGGATAACTTCAAAGCTACTGTAACATCATCAAACACTGAGTCATTTCACTTCAGTTTATTACTATAGCACCAAGTCGTAACAGAAGTCATCTCAGGACACTGAACAGAAACATTCACATAAAAATGCCTGTTAGTAAAATTTCTCTATCTATAGAAGCCAGCAGATTGTGTTAAATCTTCACTTTGCCGCAGTCTCCCATTCTGAGCAAGCACAAAGGTGACAGTGGAAAGGAAAAACTCCCTTTTAAAAGGAGAAAACCTCCAGCAGGTCGAGGCTCAGGACAAGTGGCCATCTGCTTCGACGGGAGGTTCAGGTGTACTTGGAGGAAAGACAAAAATAAAAATTGTTAAAAAAGAAATAATTACAAATACAAACAGGTAGAGTAAGTAAAGACAGCAGCAGAGTGAAGAAATATAGTTGATTTGTCCTCCAGCAGTCTAAGCCTATAGCAGCATAACTAAGGGATACCTCAGGAAACCCCAGCCAACACTAACTATAGGATTGATCAAAAAGGAAATACTTGAGCCTAGTTTTAAAAATAGACAATGTGTCAGCCTTACAGACAAAAACTGGAAGTTGGTTCCACAACAGAGGAGCCTGAAAGATCTTCTTCCCATTCTGCTTTAGGAAATTCTAGGAACCATGAGTAAACCTGCAGTCTGAGAGTGAAGTGCTCTGTTAGGAACATATGGAACAATAAGCTCTAACATAAGTCAAACATTAAAATGTTTTTTAACAAATCACAAAATCTTAATTATGATTGTTCCAAAACCATAAAAGATATAAAAAATGCCAGTTTAGTCATGTAAACTCCAACTTTCTGTGTCTGGTTAGAGCCTTAAATAATGTTTCAACTGTACAAGATGTCTGGGATGTGGAGCTCCAACAAGGGATTGATTTTATTTATACTATATATTTTACTTGTGCTGGATGAGCAGTGATAAAAACGTGATGGAAACTGAAGAATATGGACCAACAGTAGTCACAGCGCTTCAGTGGTTATGCACTGGCACACTTAAATACATGAATTATACATTTTTACAACTTCTTCAATAAATGTTGGCATCTGGTCAGTTTTAATTCATTCACCTTTTTATTTTAAACCACGTTTTTTTGAATAAATAGACAGAGCACCAGAATTTATGACGAGTTAATGTTTAAATGAACCCTTCTTCAGCTCCATGTCTCACATGAACCCACTTCGCTGATGTATTCTGACTGCCTTCAGTTGGGTTTTATTCACATAGTAATCTGCTAAATCTAATCTTTGGCTGCTTTATTTGTTTCTGAGCTACACCACCGCTGTACGGGCACCACCAGTGAACCTTCACATTTTATTTTAAGAGCCACACAGGAAGCTTCAAAGCAAACTAACCCTGTAAACATGCTCTTTTGTTCCCTTTTGCCAGGACTCCAGGCGTTAACAGCAATTCACTTTGGTCCCACTGGCATGACTCTCCCTAACATTAAACAGCAAATGACGTCTCGTTGGTGTTTAAAATAAAACTCTCCTCTTCTGCAAGCAAACGCACTTGCTGTTGTCAGACCCTGAGTGTATATGTGTAGACAGAAATAGACAGCCACCCACATATCATTAGGGAGATGGAGGGAGAGAGGAGGAGAGACGGACTGTGACAGTGTAGGAGAATGAAGAAAATATGGTGGTCACAGATTCATACTGCAGCCCTGGGTTTGTTCAGCTCAGATTAAAGAAATGCAGTTTGCTTTCACCTGAGTGGATTTGCCGATAAGCGTCTCCTAATTTCCACAGAGAACTGGATGATAATGTAGTTTAGTATCTGAAGTGTGTGGGAGGGTGCAGGCTTTCTGCTACACTTCTGCTTTAATGGACTTGATGTAGAAGGAGTCCGCCCTCTTGTGGAGCTCAGGAAAATGATGAATATATGCAGCATGTGTGTTCTGCATTACAGGCTTGTGTTAGTTTATAGGACTCTTGAGCTTCCGTCCTCTTATCTAACAGAAGTGTTTCATGATTCACTGTGTAGGCACACAATCTGGTGGTTACACTAATTTATCTGACTGTTCAGAGGCAGAAAAAGACAGAAAAATTCATTTTCTTTCATTTTACTGCTATTTTTGAACATTTTCCACCAAAAGTCTTTTTGGTATTTGAAAACCAAAAAGTCATACGTTGATTTCTAATTAAAAAGCTCTTCTTTGGTTCTCTCTTCTGTTCCTGCTTTGACTCTTCTGCTTTCAGGAAGGTGCTAAATGTGAAGATCATTGATGACGAAGAGTACGAGAAAAACAAGACGTTCACAATTGTGTTGGAGGAACCTGTTCTCTTGGAGGTGGGACAGAGACACGGTGAGCTGAAGACCCCCGATACAGCAGGGTGCAGTTTGACTTGACCTTTACATCAACTTATATTTTACTTAATTTCGTGTTTGACAGTTTAATTCATCCTTGCAATTATTCATCCATACATTTTCTACTTTGGCTTGATCCTGTTGAGGATCGCTGAGAGCTGGTTCCCTTTTCTTAATGGTCACTGGGAGAGAGGTGAGACACCCTGGACTGGTCCCCTGTCCCTCACAGGGTCACATAGAGGCAGATAATCATTCACACACACATACACACACCAAGACACGATTTAAAGTCACCAGTGGAACTAACCTGCATGTTTTCCAACTGTGGAAGACAACCAGAGTCCCTGGAGAAAATCCAGACGTGCACAAAATTTCCAAACTTTGTGCAGAAAGACCCCTGCCGAGTTTTGAATCTCAGATGGAGTCATGTAGAATTTTTCTTCAGCATGGAGGAAAGTCTCCCCTTGGAGTCTATGTTTGTGCTGTGAGTCCACTCCACGCTCATGTCTACATTTTGCGGTATTGTATTCTGTGTATGACCAGTCGTCTAGACATTAAAGTTCATGCTCAATAATCCAGGTAATAAATCCAACAAAGTTCAGTCAGGTCATCTGGACAGTTTCTTTTTCTGCTCAGTTTCGTCCGTCATCCAAAACCGTCCACATGACTTGACTGGACTTTGTTGAATTTATTACCTGGATTACTGAGCATGAACTTTGATGTTTTGAACCACTTTGGCTATGGCTGCCTCAGATGAGCCGATGAGGGAGAGGGCGGGCCCCAGAAAACATCTTATCACCAGTAAACCAGTTGGTCCACTATGTGAGTGTGCTGCTTGTGGGAGTGAGTTTGTTGAGGTTCCTCGGACTGATGAAGTCCTTTGGATGAAGGACGAAAAGTCTTAACAAAAAAAGAAACCGTCCAGATGACCTGACTGGACTTTGTTGGAATACACAGTCAATCAAATTCAGTCAAGTCTAATTTGTTACTGCCGCACACTTTTAAACAACCTCCATTGATCAAAGTCATGAACAAAATGTAAATCAGAACTTAGTAGACACCTGTAAATGCTAACTACTGGTAAGATGAATAAATCATTGTCATGTTAAACAAAAAGAGAAAGTAGCAATTGAAGTATGCTGGCACAATAAAACTCAGAGTATCTTGCTCTACCAAAAGGAAAAAAATGCAGTGTTTTAAATAATAATTTAAAATGGTCAGTGGTGTGGGCCGTTCTTTCAAACATAGGCTGAAGTATTGGTCCACCACTGAAAAAGATGTTACCTCAGGTTTTCAGACTGGACCTGGAATGTTCAAAAACCAATTTATAGACCTGAGTATTCTGGTTGGAATGTAAATGTGCAGAAGTTTGGAAAGTAAGGTGGTGCCATGCTGTTCAGACTCATAAAAACTCTGAAACTGATCTTTGAAATAGACAGGAAGTGGTATGGGAGGCCATATAATCAGGATGTGTTTTTTCTTGTTATAAGGTGTTCTGCTGGGTTTTGTGCAGCTTGCAGGCATCCAAGTAACGTAAGATCAAGACCAACATACAAAGAATTACAGTAATTCCAATCAGATGTATGTCAGGCATGAATTACTCTTTCTGACTAGTCTAACCAAATACAGTAATGGCTGTGCTAAAGAGCCGTAGTTGTAAAAAGCTCACCATGACTAATATGCTAGTTATCTTAAAAATCAAATTTATAGGCATTTTTAAAAGTTTCACCAACATTTTTTTTCATTCAACCTTTATTTAGACATTATTTATGATATTATTATTATTCATTCATTCATTATTCATTCATTCAGACATTATTATTCATATTTATGAGTTGGGAGATTTAATTATCCTAATAAAATATTTTTTGTTTTCATCTTGCTTACATAAGGAAGTTTATCTTTGTCCATGTTTGAACATCTGGGACATTTCAGTCCATCTTGAATAAAGGCACAGCCGTTTGCTCCTACGGAAAGATAAAACTGAACTGGGTCGGTAAAACTGTGAAATGGAAAATTGTGCTTTCTGAAAATGAACTTGAATTAAAACATATGTAATAAGAAGGGGGTCTAAAAAGAAGCCTTGAGGTACCCCACAATTAAACAGTGCCAAAGCTGAAGAATATTTGTTTAAACAGTTGGAAAAATGTCTGCTCGACAGGCTGGAACCATTTAAATGTTGCACATTTAATACCAGTACACAAATAAATTTAAAAAATACTATAATAAAGGAAGAGGTTTGTAATGACTGGCAGCTATTGGTATTTTTAACTAAACTATCAAGTGATTCTCCATCCCCTCGGATGAGGCATCACACATTTGATTGGCTGTTTTGTTGCTCTGAAGGCTTTCAGGCAAAAATAAATCAAGTCTAACAGATTGCACTGTGTCCCGAAAATAGGTTTCATTTTCTTTCAATTCTTTATCCTAATAGGGAACATCTCTCCTAATATCATTGTGTAGGAAACACTGATGTTGGTTCCATTTATTTCACTTGTGCAGGGGACACCAATGACAACAAGACAGCGGTGGGACCAGAGGACGTGTCAAAGATGGGCTGCCCCTGTCTGGGAGAGCACACTAAGCTGGAGGTGGTCATTGAGGAGTCGTATGAATTCAAGGTAACTAAAAATAGACAAGTTTTCACATTTTTATATTTTTTAAATACTCCAGAGCCAAAGCTGGCTAATGAATGTTCAGATTTATATGTAATACATGCCACCTTGAATAACTTTCAGTTCTTTGGACTTATGATCTACAGTGCTGATGTATTTTGTGTTCAATTTAGTTTTTATCTTGTGTCTTGAGTTTCTGCTCTAACCCTGTTGGTTCCACTTTAACCCATCTAATTAGTTCCTGTTTGGTATTCTATCCCTCAGTGCATAACCTACATACTCCTGGAATTAATCTTTGCCAGAGCCTCACATGCATTTTCTTTTATTCATCTCCAGTTTATTGTCTGTTCCTGTCCTTTAATGGCGTTGTTGTTAGTTAAATAAAATATGTACATTAACTGCCTGCCTCTTCTGTTTTGCTCATCATACTCAACGCACTTCTTGACTAAAATTAATTGCTCTTGGAACCAAACAAAGCAAACATCTCAGAGGTTCCTGGAGATAAAGACAAACCCAAGCCCAAGTTTTTTTGTTGGATCATGATATTTTGTCTTTGACATTCAGGGATTAATATTTTACTCAACCAAAGGGTGTGTGATAAATTATGAAATATGCTCATGTAACTGGATAATGTCTCTGCCAGTGGAGTCATTCATTCAATGTGTCATTCAGCCTGAGCAGCCAAAATGGAGCTAAATAAAGATTTTATGGAAGAACTTTTTTCATTTCAATTTTAGATGAGATAAGTAAATAAGAATTACTGCACATATAGTATATCTTAAAGGAATGCATATCACCTGCCACCTTTCATATCAGCGTTTTAGACTTAGATCATATAAGTGAGAAATTATGTCGTTACAGCTTTTTTTTGTCAAACATTCAAAATACATGAATGTGTAGCACTCAGAGTATGTGTCATGAATGACTTTCAGCTACTACCACTCACATATTTAGATTAAGTTATGTAAAACAGACTTGGTGACAGTGGTTTATGTTTTCTCACATCAGCTGACTTTGGCACATTTAGAACAAACGTTAAACGTTAATGAGCTGTAGATCCAGTGATTACTGAAAGTTTCATGAAAATCTACTCAGTGACTCATGAGATATTTTACTAACAGACAGTGTTGACTCCTATTGGTGAGGCACCGTTTTAATGATCTCATGCATTCAGCTCTCAGTGTACGTGTTGTGAATGACTATCATTTACTACCACAACACATTTTAGCTCAGAAGCTGTAAAATTTGTTGACTGTGTTTGCTGAAGCTGCTTAGCTGTGCCAGCCATTTTGTAATTGTTAAGATAATATAAGTTGTAGATATACTCAGTAATTATTTTTGGAGAGTATCAATAAATTCCATCCTGTAGTTCATCCAGACAGAAAGGCAAACATATTTACCACTGGCTTTTCACCTTTTGTCAGTGGAACATAAATATTCTAATACTGTTATCCTGACCTTTTTAAAAATATATATGTGCCCGCTTTTATTTATAAAGCAAAACAAGTCTCTGAGGATGGTCCCTGCCTAATCAGGAGTGCACTGCTTTGTTTGCTGTGCCATCTCCTAACTCAGACTGGAACCAGCCTGATTACATCACCGTGACATCTCCCTTGTAACAGCCACAGGACCCATTATCCAGCAGTTTGACAGCTTTATATTGCAGTCCTCTCTGAAGGTAAACTGATGCTGATGTGTAAATTGGGTGTTGAGCCTCTTTATAACAACTTAAAAACATTTAGACTGCAACATGATATTGCTCTGAGACTATCAGCTCCATGCCTCGACTCTATTTCCTGTAAAGCAGCTTCATGCTGGTGAATAACCCACTCCACCCTGCCTCAACCAAATCTGATGTCTGTGCCACAGTGGGATAAGCAGTGATCCTAATTGTGCATTAAGTCACCACATTTGTGTCCATTGTGTGCTTTACTCCTAAGAATATACCAATATTTTCATCTCAGATCTGAAAATGCACCTCTTGTTTGTTATTTTTGGTCTCCAGAGCACAGTGGACAAACTGATCAAGAAGACCAACCTGGCCCTGGTGGTGGGGAGCAGCAGCTGGAGGGAGCAGTTTGTTAGTGCTGTCACCGTCAGTGCAGGTGAGCTGCTGAAATGTGTCATCTGTCGGTTGCCCTCAAGACCAGACTTGTTGAGGATGGCGCACGTTGTCAGGATCTGATCTTTCAGGCACCTGTTTGTTTAAAATCTAGAAGTTTCCAGTTTAAAGTTTTGTAACATTTGAGCATTGCTATGTTTATTTGCTGCATCTGTTCAGTTCAGACAGCTGTTTAAAAATTCATTATGTGCTGAATTCCTTATGAGGCTCACTATAAAAGCTAAAGTGGCCAACTCTGCCTGGACATTTAATGGCTATGAGGTATGGTGACACGTTTTACTTTACCCTTTCAAAAGCCATTGGTGTGGCTTTATGAGTCTTTAAGATACGCACTAGTGCGCAAAACACAGGAGCATTAAGTCGATTTAACTACTAAAGATTTGCTTTTTCTTTTTTCATCTTCTCTATTTTGAGTTGATACAACCCAGGTTCAGACCCAGAATGAAAGCAGAAATAAAAGGCATACTGCTAATTGTGTCTCACTGACAGAAACAGACAGTCAAGAGTTGTCCAACATTTTTCAGTCAGGTCATCTGGACAGTTTTTTTTTTTCTGAAACATTTCACCTTCCATCCGGAAGGCTTCATCAGTCAAGGAAACACAACACAAAACTGGTTCTTCCCCCAAACAGCTTACTCCAAAGTGGAACAAACCAGTTATGTTTGTGCTAAGATGGCGTCTTTGGCACGCCCCCTCCTCTGGAGCCAGCCCTCTTCCTCGTCGACAGTCATGCCATACTGGTTCAAACCCAAAACAGTCCATGCTCAATAATCCAGGTATACAATCCAACAATTTTCAGTCAGGTAATCTGGTCATTATTACATTTTTGTTTTGTTTTGATTTGATTTTGAATGTCCAGAGGACCAGATTTAACTTTTTTAGATTTTTCTACCTGGATTATTGCGCATGCATCAGGATAAATGAGTTGTATTTACAGGTTTAATGTAATGATGTGAAAAGTTTAGTTGATTGGAATCTGTCCACTAATGAGTGGGAACATTATAACTGCAGAACTTCTGCAGATTTATTGGGCACAATAAGGGGCTTGTTGTCTCCATTCTCCTGCCATGTAGACTTAACATAAAAATAACTGATTAATATAAGTACTTTTACTTTCCACTGGACACTGCAGATCTCTTTAATCTGAAAGCAGGATTTTTATAATGAAAACCTGCTCAGGTTTCCTCTTCCACTTGGCTGTTATGTCATAAAAGTCACTGCAGACGTGGTGCTGAGCCAAAACCAGAAGACAAACAGATGCCAATGAATCCTGTTTTCTAAGCCTCAATTATTTAGCTCATCTCAGCCCTAAACAGTTTTTTTTTATTTCTGCATACACTGAACAAAAATATAATCACACACTTTTGTTTTTGCTCCTATTTTTATGAGCTGAACTTAAAGATTTAAGACCTTTTCGTTGTAAACAGTGGGCCTTGTTCTTTCAAATATTGTTCATAAATTTGTGTAAATCTGTGTTAGTGAGCACTTCTCCTTTGCAGAGATAATACATCCTCCTCACAGGTGTGGCATATGAAGATGCTGATTAGACAGCATGATTACAGCACATGTGTTCCTAAGGCTGACCACAATAAAAGGCCACTCTAAATGTGCAGTTTTATCACAGCACAACCCCACAGATGTCACAAGTTTTGAGGGAGCAGTAATTGTCATGCTGACTGCAGGAATGTCCACCAGAGCTGTTGCCCATGAACTGAATGTTCATTTCTCTACCATAAGTCATCTCCAAAGACGTTTCAGAGAATTTACTGTACATCCAACCAGCCTTTCGACACAGACCATGTGTAACCACATTCAGCATCTTCACCTCCAAGATCATCTGAGTCCAGCCACCTGTACAGCTGCTGCAACAATCAGTTTCCATAACCAAAGAATTTCTACACAAACTGTCAGAAACTGTCTCATGGAAGCTCCTCGGCATGCTTGTCTTCCTCATCAGGGTCTCTGCCTGACTGCAGTTAGTCATTGTAACTGACTTGAATGGGTAAATGCTCACATTTAATGGTGTATGGCATGTTGGAGAGGTGTTCTCTTCACAGATGAATCATTGTACAGGGCAGATGACAAACTGTGTGTATGGCATCTTGTGAGTGAGAGGTTTGCTGATGTCAGCATGAATCAAGTGGCCCATGGTGGTGGTGGGGTTAAGGGATGGGCAGGTAGGTGTTATGGACAACAAACACCAGGGCTGGTGTGGTTACACATGGTCTGTGGTTGTGAGGTCAGTTGGATGTACTGCCAAACTCTATGAACGTGGACATTCCTGCAGTCAGCATGCCAGTCACATGCTAAGAAGTGCACATTAACACAGATTTACACAAATTTGTGAACAATATTTGAGAGCAACATGCATCCAACTGGAAAATGCAGACACTGTAACAGCCAGAAACAGTGAAACATATTCTGTTATACTACAATAAATAAATACAAAACCAAAGAGATCATTTATGTTAGTCATTAAGAAAAGAAAAGCATCAGGACTTCACATTAGCTGGGCTCTTGGAAAATTAATCAGCTAACATATAAAGTTGTTTCCTGTGTTAAGACAATTAGCATTTTTAGTTGGGGGGGGGGGGGGGGGGGTGTCTGCCTATTCTCCAGATCCACACTCCAGTCCAGCTTGTGGCATTAATGCACTTCCATAAATAAAAATCAAAAGAAGCTAGGAAAACGCCTATTAGACCAAGTTTTAGATGTTTGAGCAATGAAAGTAAAAACTAAAGTGTTGCATTTACATGTTCTTTTCAGTAACAAGTGCATAATGTGAGTATCATTTCAGTGGTTATGATCTTGTTGGACTTTAGATAGGGAATTTGGCGGCAGTTCTCCTTAACTTACTCAGGACAAAATTGCTGAAACTTTAATAAAAGAATAATATTACAAAGAAGAACTTGCTGTATGATAAATGATCCAGTAGCATATTTCCCAGAGAATAAAGTGAGGAGAGAAGGAGCACATACAAAGTAGAAAGTAAGCCTCAAATAATTAGTCACTGTGCAAAAACTATAGGTTGTAGAGGAAAACATTCTGAACTGTAAGCAACAGAAACATTGGGTCGTCACACACTTTGATTTTTATGTGTCTACAAAATTTTATGTTCAAAATAGGACTATAACGAGTTTAAAAAGCATTTTCAGTTTTGAAGAGATTATTCTGAGGTCAGATATAATGAAAGTCAGTGAGAGTTTGGGTGTGTGCACTCTGGGAGGAACTGAGAAAATTGGAAGTCCTTGCAGTGAGGACACTGGATAAAAGAGGATACAACTGATGTGTAAACTGTTCTATTGTCAAGTTTTTGGGAGTAAAGAATGCTAAGATTTGAGAAAGTTCAGATAACTGAAAAATTACTGTCTTTAAGATCGCTAAAAATAACTAAATGTTTAAAAATCAGAAAACCTGAACTATAACTATGTAAATCATTAAAATATATCAAAATGTCAGTATGGTCATTCAAAGTCCAGACCTGTTTAAACATTGAATGATGTTTATTCTGTGAAGTACATCTAAGAAAAGAGCTCCAAACACCACTGGGTCTGTTATTTTTGTTTACTTTTTTCACCAGACAAAGAGGAATAAGGGGGTTTAATGCTTCTGTATTGGTGTTTCTAATTTTAAAAATGGTAGTAGACTGACCACTGGTCATTACACGCTCTAGTCATTCAAATGTAAATCTTTAAAACTGCTGCTAAAGTTCATCGGAACAGGCTGAAGCTTGTATTGTCACCATATTGCTGACCTGAGTTGTGGCACCTCATTAGTCATTTCTGATTCAAATTATAACAATACAAGAACAGGAAAAAAATGTTGTCAAAGTTCCAAAGCAATATCAAAAGACAAAAAACAAAACTGTAACAATATGGAAAATAAATTATTATTTTCATAACCACATAATCATCTAGCACAGCCAGAGAGAGCAGCTGCTGCTTAAGATTAAAAAAACAAAAATGTGCAATAAACATGTAATATTTCATTATGTTTCTGTTCTGATGCGTTGGCAGAGCTTTCCCCTAAACTGGAATGTGTCAATATTGGTCCAAAACTATATGTTTAAAAAAAAATCTGCTGTTAAAACAAATTAAAATACCTAATAAATTATAAAACCACAGTTCCCCAGCAGAGTTGAAACTCAAATTCTTCTTCACAAAGAGCAACATAAAGTTTATATAAACGGAAATTATAGAATTCTAGAAATGCGCCGCTCAAGGTGGCTGCATGTTGGAGTAGCTCTTTTACATTCATTCTGAGATTTTGCTTTTGAAAACTTGAATTATTCTTTTTTTCTGGATGTAAATCGCTTTTTTTGGATGAATATTTCCTCTGGTTTTGGACGCTGTTCAGCTGGAAGGATTTTTACTGAAACCTTTTTACTTTTGGACATTTGTTATGAAGTGTAACCATGACCACAAGGTCATGCTCAAGTGCCTGACCACCGAGATATTGGAGGTGGTGGGAAACGTGGTTCGTGACAGCGGGAGGACCGAGGAGTTCTGCCCGGCATTCAGGTGGTCCTGCTGCACAAGAGGACCGAGAGGTCTGCTGGGTCTGGGTGGAGGGATTGGCATTGGCAACCAGTTTCTTTGGATCTGCTGTGGGATAGACTGCTACAAGAAATCCTTCCTGCCCACAGCCATCAGCATCTATAACAACTCTAATGAAACCTGGATGAGCTACAACAACAATTAATTTCACTTTGGGATTAATAAAGTATTTTTGAATTGAACTGAATTGAAAACAGAATCTACAATTTGGTTTACACGGGGGTGATTCTAGGATCTGACCTTTTGGGGTGCTTAGCCCCAAGTACTGACATGACTCTTGGCTTGAACACACCCCATGGTAAGGTTTGTGAGAAGTGCAAAGGCTTACTCCCAGGAGGTCTCCCATCCAAGTACTAACCAGGCCCGACCCTGCTTAGCTTCCGAGATCAGAGTAGATCGGTGTGGTATGGCCGTAAACGAGGAGCTC